ATGTTAAAAAAGTACAACAACATAGAATTAAAAGAGACAAATAAACAAAGCAAAACAAAAAGAAAACGAGCAACCACAACAATAATAGTTCCCCTTCATAAAAGTGCCTCTGGAAATTAAAGCATCTGACAACATTGGAGGGGAAATTATTCTCTGGTGGAAATGTTCACTTTAAAGAATTAAAGAAATGCTTTATTTTTAGTGTTGAAGCAAAAACAACATATTTTATAATTGTAAGTAAGTAAGTAAGTAAAATTTATTTATATAGAACTTTTCACAGATAAAAAGTCACAAAGTGCTTCACAACACAGGAAATGGAAATATAAAACAATATAACAGCAAATAAAACAGCAAATAAAACAAAATAAAACTATAAAACTATAAAAACAGCATAAGAGGAAATTAATCAAATGCTTTTTCTAAATCATGTTATATATATATTAAAATGATAAATTTGCATTTTAAAATACTGTACCTATAGCTGTCAGATCAATGCACCTGAGAATCATTCTTAAACACAGTTCTTAGATTCAGTAACATTATCTAGCTGTTAAAATACACCATGACAACTTGTCATATGCAGCACATGAGAAGAATATAAATCAGTAATAATTTGCATCTCTTTTCTATTAAATAGATATTGACCTGGTGAAAGGTAAGCATCATGACTAAATCATTATATTCTGTTATTTCTAAAATCAGCTCCTTTGGTGAGCAGTACAGTGTGAAGTGAACCTGCTTTTCATACATTGTTTCCATTTCTCAGACTATGATGCAACCTATGAATATGATTACGATGACGATCAAGATAACTGTAAGTTTTCAATGTATATTGGAAGCAATACTCTACTCTCACTTACGACCTGAAATGTTTCTTTACAATACATGTCTGACTTATTTTCAGGGTATATTACTGACACTTTTGGTGAGTATTTGAGAATGCAAAAGCTGCATATAAAGTCATTAACTGTAAAGATGCTGCTTGCAATACAGTCCTGTCATTGGTTTCAGTGCTTGGGAGTGAGGAGGATTGTCCTTTAGCTGAATGTCTTGTGTTTTTAGAGCCTCAACACAAAATGGGAGCCATCAGGGGATTCTCCTCATCAGGTTGAGTCAACATTTTATTTATTTTCTCTTTAATATGCCCTTAAAGTAATTTCAGTAGTTAATGTTTATACTAAATATTATCTTTTGCAGTTGATGGAGATCCTCATTTTGTGGTCCAGCTAGCAAAGGTTCACCAGAACCTGTGTTTCACAGTAGATGGCAGGGCTAATGATGTCCTCAGACTGCTGGAAGACCCAGAGAGAAGTATGCAGAGCAAAAAGATCTATAATCTGACACTGTAATTTTGGTGTTTAAACATCTACATATGTCTCCTTTCTCTTCAAGATATCATTGTAGATGGCCACCTAATGGGGGCGCCCTCCAAAGACGGGGTTGAAGACCGTTTGCGAAACTACTTTGACCAGCTCACAATCTCCGCGGTCACGGGCAACTCTGGTGACATCATGATCACACTCACGCTGGACGCTGTAGTCGTGGAAGGTGAAGGGCGGGATACGCTTCCCATCAATCAGCAGGGATCAGTGACGAGGCAAGGCGTGACTGTTACTGTGGACAACCACCAGAGCTGCTGGATCGAGCTGGCAGCGGGCGTGCAGTTCCTGGTCCTGTTCCATCATTATAAACATCCAAGCTACCTGCAGTTGGCTCACCTGGGTTTTTACATCACAGATGGGCGAGGCCTTTCTGACTCCACCCAAGGCCTTCTGGGTGAGTACACTGAAGCTTCCACTGAAAATGAATATGTTGTTTTGTTTTGGTAC